GTGAGCCCCTTTTTCAGTTTTGTATACTTATCCTTATTGTCCCTTAGCTTGTCAGAGAGCTCTGTGTGCATCCACGCCAGTCTTGTCAAACGTTTCTTGTTTTTCTTTCTCTGTTGTATTGTTTTGGTTTGGGCCTTTATTATCTCACCCTTCAGGGTTTCCTAAGCATCCTGAACTGCTTTTCCCTTTAGGATTTCTATCCATGGAATCCTTCCTATTATATCTCTTAATTTTTTTAAAGTCAGCTCTCTTAAAATCTAGAACATTAGTCTGACTTGGTACTGTTACCCTTGCCTGCCTAATGGTGAATTCTAATATGACATGGTTGCAATAGCTGGCTGTCAGTACCATGTTGTTATCTTTCTGTTGTAAAGACATTTGCCAGGCATCAGTTCCATTTTCTGTTCCATTCCATAACTGTCTCATAACACCCAGTGTGATTTACCCTTATACTTGTACCCCTTGCTCTGCATCAGTAGTAAAAAAGTATTTGCAAGGCTTGGACTTCTTAGCTTCTGAGAACCTCAGAGTTTGAAGGCCACAGAACCTAGTGACTTCAGACACTGCTGAGTCCAGATCCTGGCCTCCCCAAAGTATGGCTCTATCAAAATCTGAGCTAAAATTCCCCCTCCCTTGAGCACTGCTGGCCATTATAATACAGTGGTGCCTCGACTTACGACCATAATCCATTCCAGAAGATTGATGTAACTCGAAATGGTCATAGGTTGAAGCATCATTAATCCGTTCCAGAAGAAACAAAAAAACCACCACCACCACCACCACCCCAAAAAACAAAAAAAAACCACACTGTAAGCCCCATAGTAATGTGCTGGAGTGGAAAAAAAACCCAAAAATAAACCACGGAGCAAGCTCTGGAGGCGCTGGGGCTTTTAAAAATCACCAAAAATAAACCACAGAGCAAGCCCCGAAGGTGCTGGGGCTTAAAAAAAAATCAAACCCAAAAATAAATCACAGAGCAAGCCTTATTGGAAGGTGCTGGGGCAGCAAAAAAAATCACCAAAGAACAAAACAACAACACAGCACAGAAACATAACCTCCCCAGCCCCACCTTGCAAAACCCACCCAGAACAGGCAGTTTTTGAAAAGCAAAAAGCAGCACCTTACCTTATCAGACAACCTGAAGCTTCCCTGCAAACAAACACACTGTCACTCAGAAGCGGAAGCCAGGCAGTCCCAAGCCTCCTCTGAATGCACACTCTCTAACTCAGTGGTCCCCAACCTTTTTCGGACCATGGACCAGTTGGGGGGTGCGGGATCCCTGTGGGGTCCGGTTGGGGGGCTGGGGGCTCCCCTGTGCTCGTGAGTGGGCGTGTCACGCTCACAGGTGGGCGTGTCACACCTGCAGAGGGGCGTGTCACGCCTGTGGAGGGGCGTGTCACGCTCGTGTGCATGCACGCTTGTGTGATATGCTCCTCCGCAAACACGACACACCCACGTGCAAGTGTGACACACCCCTCTGCAGGAGGAAGTTCAAACGTCCTGCCACTTCATGGTTTTCTGATCTCAGGACCGCCAAATAAATAATGAACTTGAAGTGCACGAGAGAGGAGCGGTGGCGGTGGCAGGGGGCAAAGCAGCAGCAGTGGCGGTGGCAGCGCTACTGTGGCTGGCCGATGCTGGAGGGAGGGGCTGGAGGAGTTGCCCTGAGGGAAGGCGGCAGCGGCGCAGCCAGCCACTCACGCCAAAGTGAGGCCGGGCTGGGGGACTGTGGTCCCTTCTGGGGGTGGTCATGGTGGTGGCATTCCGCCACAATCTCCTGTGCTGCGCTGCCTGTGCGATTGCTTGGCCAGAGGCGCCCGCAAAGCTGTCTATGTTGTACCTAAATTCAGGCAATAACCTGTGGAGCTTGTGGGTTGGGTGGGTCGCTGCCAGCTAGCCCTTCCAGGATTCTGAGCCCCATCAGGAGCTGGGCCCCTGCGCTGCCACCCCTCAATGCTGGCTCCTGAGTTGATCCACGCCGCTACTCTTCATTGCCCTCCCCTTCAGCCCCCTCCACAGCCTCCTCTTTCTCCCCCCATGCCAGCCGCTAGTTGGAACCACTTAGAAAGGCAGCCACAGCGACGCCTTCTCTTCTCTCCTCCTCCTTCACCCCTCTGGCAATACCACCCCTTGCCCTTTCCGCGCCTGGCAGGGGAATGAGGGGAAATGCCCAGGGCTGCACCTTCCCCCTCTGCAGGCTGTTTGTTTATCCCAGCCTGGGCCAGGGACTCCCGCGGGCCCCTCAACCTGGCGACGCTTCCTCGGCATGATCCGGGGGCTTCCTGACTCGCCCGCCCCACCTCCATCGTTCCTCGCCAGCTGAGTGCTTCTGTATTGGGCTGAGAGGGTTGGAAGGCAAACACCTCCAGGAGTTACATCCTGTCCCGTCGTGACCTACCCCGTGATGCTACCCGCTGGAGAGGCGAGAGGGGGGACCCAGGCCATGGAATCTGGGTGCCAGCGACTCTCAGCGCCCTGCGAAGGGAAATGCCCCAGGGCCCCCAGCGGCTGTGGTGGAACATTCTCCCTGAGCTTGCTGGCCAGTTGATCCCAGGGCCCGAGGGAAGCAAGGCCGAGGCGCGGGCAGTGGGGGTGGTCCTCTCGCCTCTCTAAGTCGGCTCGCCATCGCAGAAATTGGGCCCAGGGCAAGGTGCACACCTGGGTGCCTGAGATGGAGGATGCCACAGCGGAGCCCAGCCCAGCCCTCCCCTGGCTCCTTCTGCTACTTTGGGCTTTGGGGCATTGGGGGGGGGGAAATCAGGTATCAGTTGCTTTCCGCCCTGGGCTGCCCTGAGCTCTTGCAGGAGACCTACCAACCCACCCCGAGCGCGCAAGCCCCGTTGGCTTTACAGAAATACTTTGTTCCTGTTGATGCCCCCAAAGGGAGGGGGGTGTCCGTGTTCTAGGCAGGATGCCTGGGATGTGAACAGAGAGCACCCCAAACCCTCATGCCACCGATTAGCAACCTGGACGCGAAGGGAGGCCCTTTCTAGTATATTATCAATACAGTACAATACAAATGCGTACTACATTCATCAATACTATAGATTAGAACATATATTATTTCATAGTCTCTTCAAAATAAGTATTATTAATTATAAGGCTAAACTTTTATTTAAAAAATAATACATTATTTCCCTCTTCTAGTTGCTTGTTAATTAACAAACAGCTTAAAATTACATTCATCTTTCACTCTTTTTACACTATTCTTTAAAAGATTCTATTGTACAATATATTGTTATTCATTTTCCACATCTATTTGTAGCATCGCGTTGTTAATTAACATAAGTAAAACACAACACAAGTGACATTTTAAAATACACTCCATTTCTCCTTCTTTTCTCTCTGTTTTACGTGACATCATCGTTCTGTTGTTTACTCTTTCTCGCTAAAGCTGGCACAAAACTGAATTAACTACTTTCGCCTTGTTATCAGTAGCTTTGTTCCAAAACAAGTTGCTCTTATTTTGTAAACAATGAAAATCAAGCTGTACTTGTCCCTTTCATTTCCTTAGCAACCCTGTGAGGCACTTTTTAAAAAGCACTTTTAGGTTTTAGCACAGCACCTCTGCATCCTGTAAACTTTTTAAAAAAAAATCATTGATACTTCCAGTACTCACTGAGCATCCACAGGGTGTTCTCCTTCTGTGTGTGTGTTTAGTCGTTTAGTCGTGTCCGACTCTTCGTGACCCCATGGACCAGAGCACGCCAGGCCCTCCTGTCTTCTACTGCCTCCCGGAGTTGTGTCAGGTTCATGTTGGTTGTTTCGCAGACACTGTCCAGCCATCTCATCCTCGGTCGTCCCCTTCTCCTCTTGCCGTCACACCTTCCTAACATCAGGGTTTTTTCCAAGGACTCTTTTCTTCTCATGAGATGGCCAAAGTACTGGAGCCTCAGCTGCAGGATCTGTCCTTCCAGTGAGCACTCAGGGTTGATTTCCTTTAGAACTGATAGGTTTGTTCTCCTTGCAGTCCACGGGATTCTCAAGAGCCTCCTCCAGCACCACAATTCAAAGGCATCTATTCTGGAGTAGGGAATGGCAAGCCACTCCAGTATCTTTGCCAAGAACGCCCCATGATCAGTTCTCCTTCTGCATCACCCAAATTGTTCCATTTAAACCAGCAGCTCTTTTTTGCAGTGGGGTCAAATAAGGTCTCCTAAACTTGCCTCAAAAGTTGGCCAAGTGGATCTCTCCAACTGTCTCACTGTGGTACCATCTAACAAGACTCCTGGTTCCTGAGACTGTTCAAGTCCATTCAATGAGTCCATTCCACACCATTCTTCTGTGAGAATACTGGACAATTACTTTCTGAAGCGTGCCAAGTAACAACATGGGCCCAACTGTAATCAATTATTTCTCACTACAGATAGATCATGTCATGACTCAAATTTTGACAGAGCTGTTCACTCATCTATCTTTTAATGACATTCTGTCCTCCTCAAGATAAGCTTGTTAGTCTCCCGGATTATAGAATAATTGAGTTGAAAGAGGTCTAGAAGGCCATTGAGTCCAACTCCCTGCTCAGTGCCGGAATTGAAGTCAAAGCAGATCTGACAGATGGTTGTCCAATTTTTTCTTGAATGCCTCCAATGTTGGAGTATGTGTGAGTATTGCTTACCTGTAACGTGTTTCTTCAAGTGGTCATCTGTGGCACTCATGCAACCAAGCCAGTCTCTTCTCTCTTCGATGTCCTGATGTTTGTATCAGCGAATGCTATGACTGAGGTACTTGGAGGAAATACTAGGAACATGCAGGGAGGAGAGATGGCTCTCCTGCAAAAACTAAAGGATTCCATTTTGGAAAATTCCAGGATGGGGTGCACAAGCAAAGTAAACCTCATATGTCTGAGTGTTCACAGATGATCACTGAACGAAGCACAAGCAAGGTAAGCAACCTACCGTTACTGTCCAGAACTCAGTATTCTAAGGAATTGAGACCTAGGCTACCTAATGCATGTGATAGTGCTAAAAAATTCTAAATCTCCTTTTCTGTTTTAACAGATTAGTTGGAGTCCTGATGGCAATCGTCTGCTTTCTGCTTCAGGAGATAAAACAGCCAAGACGTGGGATGTTGCTGCTAATAGTGTAGTGAATACATTTAACATGGGGTCCAGTGTTCTGGACCAGCAGTTGGGATGTCTCTGGCAAAAACACCACTTATTGACACTTTCTCTTTCTGGCTATATCAACTATTTGGATGAGAACAACCCAAATAAACCCCTTCGTGTCATAAAGGTCTGTTGCCTCACTAAGCAGGTTGTTTTTAGTTACCTGATCATATATTGTAGCTTTGTGGCTAAATTGACTAAGAACAAATTTTTCCACTGTGTTTAACTATGTTTATACTCTTATTTTGTTGGTTACATTGTTCTGTTGTCAGCATTATTACCAAAAAGAAAATGTAAAGTTAAACAATGTCTTAAAGGCTTAAATTAAGGGAAGGGAATTATGGTGATTCAAAACTGGAAAAATTTCTATTTCTTTGAGAGCAAGTTAGCCTATACACGGCATTCACTTTCCTTCTGAATATTTTCAGGCCATTTAAAACTCTGGCCAGAATTCAAAGTACAATACCCCAAGTATGCTAAACCCAAAGAGTTACTGAAACACTTAGTCTGTGCTCCTTAACCAGCATTCATTCTCATCTGTTTTCCCTTCTTTTCCAAATTGTTCCTAGGTAAATGTCTTCCTGAAACTGATGGTATATGCTCTGGCACCCTCTGTTTTTATGTGGTCAGATTGTCTATGGTTTTATTAATTATTTGACTGTGTGTCTTATTGAGAACCACCCAGAGTAGTGCTGCAGCACTGATGACAACAGTCTATTACATTAAAATTTTAAATTGGGGGGGGGGGCTTCATGTTGTGGATATTGCCAGAAACCAACCCCACCCTCCCTAGTTTCCAAGCCACATACCTTAATGTACACTTGCTCAGAATTTTTGAGAAAAAGAGGAGTATCCTTGAACAAGGAAAAGCAGCCTCATACTATGTATTGAATATGTTCCTGAAATTTTAAGTGATTTTTAGAAGAAAATTAATTATTTGCAGTAAATGAATATGCTCTCTTGCAGGGTCACAGTAAATCAGTACATTGTCTTACAGTGCATAAAAATGGGGAGAAATCCTATATTTACTCTGGAAGCCATGATGGACATATTAATATCCTTTGAGTGGCCAGAAGCGTAACTTTTCATGGATAAAAATGCAAAGTACTATGCTGTTCATTGTCTTTTTTGCGGTGTTGGGGGTAATTATTTGCTGCTTGCTGAAGAGTCTTAATGCAGGTATACAACCTAGTATTAGAACAGTTCTCATTTAAAGGGCTGAACGAAGCCAGATGATTATCCACTTAACTCATTGAGGGAGCTGTTGTCAGTATAATTCTTCATGATGTTTGAATTGGCAGAAATTCTAAACCGAGAAGCTGCCTCATACAAAGATGAATATTTATTGTAATATCAGTTTGTTTGATTTCAAAGTGTTCTTCTAGGCTAACATCCAAAACATTTTTGCACTGAATACACTGAAATCTTTTTGCCATCAATTTTCATGTTGCTGTTCCAGTCAGGTTTGCAGTACCAGGCAGTGGCATTTTAGTGTGTGCACTGGTTTCTATGTTTTAATTTGTTGGCAGACTAATTACAGAATATCTGAAATCTGATCCTCTTTATCCTAGATATTTTTGTCCTAAACTTATGTAGCACATCTTTGAAACTGAGTCATACTGACTGTTCTGTGAGATAAATACTGGACCTTCCTTTTTCTGCTTATCTTGAAAATATATTTCCTCAATATTTTGTTCACATTATTGGGATTCTGAGACTGGTGAAAATGATGACTTTTTAGGAAAAGGACATACAAACCAGGTTTCCCGAATGGCAGTGGATGAAATGGAGCAGCTAGTCACTTGCAGTATGGATGATACTGTACGCTACACTAGTCTTAACAAAAAAGATTACAGGTATGTAATTTGAACTGCTCTCACATTAATGATAGAGCAAATTTTGTTTTTTGTAGCTCCAGCAGTAGGAGCCAAAGTCGTAAATTCAAATTATAGTGAAGATTTTATGTAAATATTAGTAAACATTGACAACAAGAGCTGCTTGCCAGTGGAATTGACTGCTTTGAGGGGTGTGTGGACTGTCCTTCATTAGGACAGGCCACACACCTATCAGGGATGGACACCTGTCAGGGATGCCTTTAACTGGATTTCGTGCTTTGACTGAGTCCACACTTAGTCATCCTTGAGATCTCTTCTAGGTTAATACTTTTTTGGTTCTGTGAATCTAAATCCCTCAACTGATATCTTCCTTGTTCTCCAATCTATAACAAGTACCTTATCCTTATCTTTTAAGAGAGCTATTTCCTTTCCCACTTCCTTCATTTTTATGTCCCAGTGATGTTGCCAATGACCTGTGCCCCTCCAGCTTATTTTTAAAAACTTGATTTTTTTTCTTTTCTTTTCAGTGGCCAAGATGTTGTGAAAATGGATGTCCAGCCCAAGTGTTTAGCTGTTGGACCTGGTGGATATGCCGTTATTGTATGCATTGGAGAGGTATGTACCCTAAAAACGGATCACAACTTGCAGTTTATTTATTTAACATTTGTATCTTTCATGCGGCCAAGGAATATCCCACCTATTTTGGGAGATTATTAATAACTGGTGCAGGGTTACCCAGTGAGATACAGTTTAGTGGGTACTTCTGTAGTGACTAGTTCCTTGTCAAGTTCTGTAATCAATATATTTGAGTTTCTTAGCCATAATTTACATTTTATATTTTGAATGAAGTCCTACTTTGAAAGTATTTTCAGTGGGGTTTATTGAAGTGCTGCTTAAAAATAAGATTTGGCAACTGTTCAGTACCTTGATAGGACTGAGGGATTTCTCTTGCCAGTTGTGAAGAAGAAAGCTTGCTTGCTTTAGTACACAAAATTGTGTCTAAGTCTTGTGCACATTTTGGAGAGCAGCAACTGGAAACAAGCTAAATAAGAGTCATCTTTTTAGTATGTTTTATCACTATTTTTCAAAGTCTGAGCAGATCTAGTTCTAGATGGACTGACAGCTAAAGTGGAAAAAACAGGGTTAGGGTATATGTATGAGACATGTTTGTGCCTTCCCTGTCTTTCTTTGGGACACAAATTGCTGTAAAGATCTGCACAGCCTCTGATGAATGTGATGACAGCTGCACAGGAGCGTTATAATTTTCTACACAGTCCTTATTTGTTACAAGAAGCTTAAATAAAACAACTTCCCTGCTTGTCCTCTGTGGCAAATAGCTGCTAGTAACTGCTGCAGTCTGTCTCCTTTACTCGAATTTATTTATGGCCAAATCAACAACTATAGTGAAATTTGCCATTCACGATGCTAGCGCAAAAACACAGAAGAACAGCAGGTTTATCAGCGTATTAAACAGTCCAGGTAGTCCAGAATAACTCAAGCATACACCAGCAACTTCTCCTCCACCAACATGTACAGTGGTGCCTCGCTTAACGGGCGCTCCATTTAGCGACGAAACCGCATAGCGATTAACTTTCTGCGATCGCAAAAGCGATCACATTGCGATGTTTCCTATGTTTTTTTTTCGCTTTGCGATGATTGGTTCCCTGTTTCGCTTACTGATTGGCGGTTCCAAACTGGCCGCCGGGTATAAAAATGGCTGCCCGCTGTGTTTTCGCGTGGATTGCTTGCTTTAGAGGCAGCAAAAATGGCCGCCATATGGAGGATCTTCGCTTTAAGGTGAGTTTTAAGCCCATAGGAACGCATTGAAGGGGTTTCAATGCGTTTCTATGGGCTTTTTAAAATCGCATAGCAACGGAATCGCTTAGCAGCGATTTTTGCTGCACGGATTAACGTCACTATGCGAGGCACCACTGTATTTACAAGGTATTTACAGCCGCTCAGTCTGGCAGCATAACAGGTAGCATTCATCACAAAGCAGGAAGATAGATCAACTGTTCAGTTTCATACGTATATACGCATACAGATCTGCTTGTGTCCAATCACATTATGTATTGCATCATGCATGAGTCAGCACTGCTGAGTCGTCATGACTCAGTTTCTACAGATCTGTTCATCATGCCTGCTCATTAATATACTTTATTCTGTTCAGGCCTGTAAATTTGTCTTGACACCCCTCCTAAGTTAGGTCTGAGCAGAACATATACCCAATTTTTCAGTTACTTCCAAGTGTTTTTGTATATTCAGGGGTTTTGTCAAAATGTCAGCTATATTTTTCTCTGACTCGCAATATTGCAGCTCAATTAAGTTTTCCTTTATTGCTTCCCTGACTATGATACTTTATGTCTATGCGTTTGCTTCTGCTACGCATCTTCTCAGTTGTTGCCATCTGGATGCACGTGGTATTGTCTTCATATACCAAAATGGCCTGATTTACTTCAACTTTTAAATCTTTGATTAACTGTTTGTACCATATAATTTCTGAACACAGCTCTGACAATGGTGCAAATTCATCTTCACTTGTTGAAGTTGCGATGGAACTCTGTTTGCGATGGAACTCTTGGAGATGGGGGTGAGGGGTGGCTTGGGGAAAACCGGGAGGCAGGGCAAGGCCTGGGTGTTCCCGGCGGCCCTCCTCCCGACCCTTCACCTGGCCGGCCAGTCAGCTGGCCAAAAAAGCTGGTGTGCACTCGGAAGGAGGGCGTGGGAGCCTTCCCGCACCCTCCTGCCTGATCGCTGGCTAGTCAGCCGGCCAAAAAAGCCGGGATGCGCTCAGGAGGGAGGAGGAGCCTTCCTCCGCCCTCCTGGCCAAGCACAGGCCGGTCAGGCAGCCGAAAAAGCGGGGGTGCGCTCGGGAGGAGGGAGGAGGAGCCTCCCTCCGCCCTCCTGCCTGATCGCCGGCCGGTCAGGCAGCGGAAAAAGCTGGGATGCGCTCGGGAGGAGGAGCCTTCCTCCGCCCTCCTGGCCAAGCACAGGCCGGTCAGCCGGCCGAAAAACCCGGCGTGCGCTCGGGAGGAGGGCGGGGGAACCTTCCCCCCCTCCTGCCCCAGCCCCATTTTTGGCCAGCTGATCGGCGGTTCCAAAATGGCCGCCGCAACCATTTTCGCATAATTTCCTCGCTTACCGAGGACGCAAAAATGGCAGCGCTACGGAGGATCTTCGCATAACGGTGAGTTTTCGCCCCATAGGAACGCATTAAACAAAGTTTAATGCGTTTCTATGGGGTTTTCCCACCCGCATTGCAATGTTTCCGGATAGCGACGATTAATCCGGAACGGATTAACGTCGCTATGCGGGGCACCACAGTATTTTAATTTTTCCAAAGCTGAATGTAACTTATTCCAATTTCTCGCTGATTGTTTCAGACCATAAATTGCTTTGTTTAATTTGTACACAATTCCTGGTTTAGAGCTTTCAAAACCAGGTGCCTGTGTCATGTACAATTCCTCCTGTAATTCTGCATTTAAATAGGCAGTTGTGATGTCGAAGTGGTTTACTATGTAGTTTCTGGATGCAGCTAAAGTTAAAGCTAACCTCATTGTCTCTGCCTTTACTGTGGGCGAAAACACTTCGTCATAGTGAACATTTTTCTTTTGTGTGTACCCCTGAGCCACTAATCTTGCTTTGTACCTGTAAATCTCCATTGTTTTGAAATTTTCTTTTATAAACCCACTTGCTACCAATTACCTTTTGTTCTGGTGGCAACTTTGTCTCAATGAACACCTTATGTTCATCTATAGACTTTAATTCATCCTTCATGACCTGTTCCCATTTCTTTCTTTCTATTTCAGGAAGAAGCATCACTTCTTCAAAATTCTTGGGCTCTTGATATAATGTTTATTTCTCTTACACCAAACCTTGTTGGAGGGATTCCTTTATTAGTCCTTTCAGATCTTCTTGGGATTTGTGTCTCTTCCTTAACTACAGGTTCACTTTCTGCCTGACTACACTCTCCATCATCCTCTTCTTCTGAGGTGCTGTGACTTGTGCTTTCTTCAGCCTCTTCCTTTGGTTCTATATCATTTCCCTGACTTTTCTCTCTTTCTCTTATGGGCATGTAGACTTGGGAATTTGCATGCACCTTGTCCCAGTTTTCATGCTCACAAAAATTTGCTGACCTGGAGATCACTACATTTTTATTTCCATCCAGGAAACGATATGCCTTGGACCCTCTTTCATATCCCAAAAACCTCATTTTCTTTGCTTTTGGTTTTCCTTTCCTTCCGATTTCTTTTGGTACATGCACCCAAGCACTACACCCAAACACTCTCATATGCTGTATGGAAGGCTCCCTCCCATACAGCATATAATACGGGGTTTGCTCTATAGCTGAAGAAAACAATCTTTATGATATAATTCAAAGCTAACAACGCTTTTCCCCAATACCCATGACTCATGTTAGCATCTGCTAAAAGAGAATATTTCATTGTCTGTAGGACTCCATTCCTCCGCTCTGTAACTCCATCTTTAAAAGGATAATATGGACTAGTTTTCCTGTGAAAAATTCCAGTGTTTCTCAACCATGTTTGAAACTTTTCTGACATAAATTCAGACCCTCTGTCTGTCTGAATTTGTGCCACTTTCTTGTCATAATGTTTTTCTACAACGTTTACCCAATTTCTGAAGAGATTGAACACCTCTGCTTTGTTCTTCATCAAATAACAGAAAGAATACCTTGTATCGTCATCTACAATGACTAGCACATATTTCACTCCACCCATAGATGGCGCAAAAGGCCCAGTTATGTCAGCATGAACTAACTAAAATGTCCTCTGTGTCTGACTAGAATGTTCTTTCGGTTTTGGACATACCTTTGATTTTGCTAGCTTACATACTTCACAATCTAGATAATTTTTACAAGGTTTTACTCTTTTCCAACAACACAAGAGGCGACTCTATACATGGAAATCACCAGATGGGCAGTATCGAAATCAGACTGATTATATTCTCTGCAGCCAAAGATGGAGAAGCTCTATACAGTCAGCAAAAACAAAACCTGGAGCTGACTGCAGTTCTGATCATCAGCTTCTCATAGCAAAATTCAATCTTAGACTGAAGAGAGTAGGAAAAACCACTGGGCCACTCAGGTATAATCTAAACCACTTATGAATACACAGTGGAAGTGAAGAACAGATTTAAGGAACTTGATTTGGTGGACAGAGTGCCTGAAGAACTTTGGATAGAGGCTCGTAACATTGTCCAGGAGGCAGCAACAAAAACCGTCCCAAAGAAAAGGAAATGCAAGAAAGCAAAGTGGCTGTCCAATGAGGCCTTAGAAATAGCAGAGAGGAGAAGGGAAGCAAAATGCAAGGGAGATAGGGAAAGTTACAGAAAATTGAATGCAGACTTCCAAAGAATAGCAAGGAGAGACAAGAGGGCCTTCTTAAATGAACAATGCAAAGAAATAGAGGAAAATAACAGAAAAGGAAAAACCAGAGATCTGTTCAGGAAGGAATTATATCGGAAAGATTTGGATATCCCGGACAATGCAGACAATGTAGTTGCTGACCTTGAGCCAGACATCCTGGAGAGTGAAGTCAAGTGGGCCTTAGAAAGCCTGGCTAACAACAAGGCCAGTGGAGGTGATGGCATTCCAGTTGAACTATTTAAAATCTTGAAAGATGATGCTGTTAAGGTGCTACATTCAATATGCCAGCAAGTTTGGAAAACTCAACAGTGGCCAGAGGATTGGAAAAGATCAGTCTACATCCCAATCCCAAAGAAAGGCAGTGCCAAAGAATGCTCCAACTACCGTACAATTGCACTCATTTCGCACGCTAGCAAGGTTATGCTCAAAATCCTGCAAGGTAGGCTTCAGCAGTATGTGGACCGAGAACTCCCAGAAGTACAAGCTGGATTCCGAAGAGGCAGAGGAACTCGAGACCAAATTGCTAACTTGCGCTGGATTATGGAGAAAGCCAGAGAGTTCCAGAAAAATATCTACTTCTGCTTCATTGACTATGCGAAAGCCTTTGACTGTGTGGACCACAGCAAACTATGGCAAGTTCTTAAAGAAATGGGAGTGCCTGACCACTTTATCTGTCTCCTGAGAAACCTATATGTGGGACAGGAAGCAACAGTTAGAACTGGTCATGGAACAACTGATTGGTTCAAAATTGGGAAAGGAGTACGGCAAGGCTGTATATTGTCCCCCAGCTTATTTAACTTATATGCAGAATACATCATGCGGAAGGCTGGACTGGAAGAAACCCAAGCCGGAATTAAGATTGCCGGAAGAAATATCAACAACCTCCGATATGCAGATGATACCACTCTGATGGCAGAAAGTGAGGAGGAATTAAAGAACCTTGTAATGAGAGTGAAAGAGGAGAGCGAAAAAATGGTCTGAAACTCAACATCAAAAAAACTAAGATCATGGCCACTGGTCCCATCACCTCCTGGGAAATAGAAGGGGAAGATATGGAGGCAGTGTCAAATTTTATCTTCCTGGGCTCCATGATCACTGCAGATGGAGACAGCAGCCCTGAAATTAAAAGGTGCCTTCTTCTTGGGAGGAAAGCGATGACAAATCTTGACCGCATCTTGAAAAGCAGAGACATCACCTTGCCGACAAAAGTCCGAATAGTCAAAGCTATGGTTTTTCCTGTTGTGATGTATGGAAGTGAGAGCTGGACCATAAAGAAAGCAGACCGCCGAAGAATTGATGCCTTTGAATTGTGGTGCTGGAGGAGGCTCTTGAGAATCCCCTGGACTGCAAGGAGAACAAACCTATCAGTTCTAAAGGAAATCAACCCTGAGTGCTCACTGGAAGGACAGATCCTGAAGCTGAGGCTCCAGTACTTTGGCCATCTCATGAGAAGAAAAGAGTCCTTGGAAAAAACCTTGATGTTAGGAAGGTGTGACGGCAAGAGGAGAAGGGGACGACCGAGGATGAGATGGCTGGACAGTGTCTGCGAAGCAACCAACATGAATTTGACACAACTCCGGGAGGCAGTGGAAGATAGGAGGGCCTGGCGTGCTCTGGTCCATGGGGTCATGAAGAGTCGGACACGAATAAATGACTAAACACACACACACTCTTCCACCTTTAGCAAAAATTTCAGTTTTCTGTACCACTCTAAAATTTGCATGACCAAGCCTTCTATGCAGTAGGTGAGCACACTGATCATGTTGTGGTGTGTTCCTAATCATGTTTTGTGTCACTTTGTTCTCTTTTAACACATACAAATTGTTTTGAAGTTTTCCTATGGCACAAATTTCATTTCCTTTCTTAATTGTGCAAGTGCTATCAGCAAACAACACTGTATAGCCTTTATCACGGCTAGAGATACTGAGAATATTACACTCAAGTTTTGGAACTGATAAAACATTTTAAGTTCCGTTTTCAAACCTGGTATAAACACAGCCCCTTCTCCAGTGGCAGCAGACTTTTCTCCATTTGCTAGGCTCACAAAGCTGTGCTCTGAAGCTCCTAGAAAAGAAAACTCTTTTTTGTTAGTTAAATGGCATACAGCCCCACTGGTGACCTTGGCTTTATCAGCAGCAGCCTGTATGAGAGAAATCCTCCCCATCTTTTTCTTTCACTTTTACAGCCAAAGGATTCTCTACATTCTTTCTGTACATGTTTCTCAGAACCACAGTTGAAACAGTGTCTCACAGTAAATGCTTCGTTTTCCTCCTCTCCCATCCTGGAAGCAGTTCTTCTGCGCTGTGGACTGTTTTCTCTCCTTCGCTGTGGGCTGTCATGTCTCATTTTATTTTCGGATCTTTCACTCCTCCGTTGCTCCTCCTCCAGCAGTATGCCCGTCAAGTATTCAAGGGTTAAATCACCTTCTGGCATGGACTCCAGGCTCGTCACTAGCACATCAAAGTCCTGTGGAAGACTGCTCTTAAGGGAAGAAGATAAGGAGAAAACGGCCTTTGTCACCCCAAGAGGGTTGTACCAATTTGTCCGAGTGCCATTTGGGTTACATGGGGCGGCTGCTACCTTTCAAAGGCTCATGGATCGGGTATTAGAACCAGTACAACAATTGGCTGGGGCTTATATAGACATCATTTTGATTTATAGTGAGATGCGGACAGAGCATTTAGAACATTCAGAGGACAGCACTCTGAAGATGCCAGCCACAGAGACTGGCGAAACGTTAGGAAGAACAACCTTCAGAACACGGCCAAAGAGCCCGAAAAACCCACAACAACCATTAGATCCTGGCCAGGAAAGCCTTCGTGAATACACTCAATAAACAGGTTTTTCATCTTCTGTAGATGCTGAGACATGCTTTTGCCATCCTCAAGTCTAACTCTATACAGCTTTCTGGTTAAAGACACTTTACTTCCTGCTGTATCACGAACATAAATTCGTCTCAAAGCCTGCCAACATTCTTTAGCTGAGGTCAGTCCATGTACATGAATCAATTGGCTGTCCTCCAAACAAAGAATTATAGCCGATAAAGCCTTTTGATTCTGTTTCCGTTGTTCCTCATCTAATGCAGCAGGGGGATTGGTAACAATCTGCCACAATTCCTCCCTTCTTAGGAACATCTTGGCTTTCATCAACCACGTCTGATAATTCTTTTCATTCAGTCTTGTCAAGGGAAAGCCTCCCATGCTCACTGCCCCAAATGACTGCATGCTGCTGCTTTTCTCTCAGTTCTCCGTTCTTTTTCCCCTCCTGGGCTTTAAACGACAGAACTCTCACCTCCCTGGACTTCTTCCACTTCCCTCTCTGGTACTCACCGGCTTCCTTGGTGCAAGATAAGTATCGCAGGGCACGTCGCTGGGCCCATAACCCAATGTTAGTGCAAAAACGCAGAAGAACAGCAGGTTTAGCAGAGTATTAAACAGTCCAGGTAGTCCAGAATAACTCACACATACGCCAGCAGCTTCTCCTCCACTAACGTGTATTTACATTTACAGCAGTTCAGTCTGGCAGCATAACAGGTAGCATTCATCACAAAGCAGGAAGATAGATCAGCTGTTCAGTTTCACACATATATACACATACAGATCTGCTTGTGTCCAATCGTATTATATGTTGCATGATGCATGAGTCAGCACTGCTGTCATCATGACTCAGTTTTCTACACATCTGTTCATCATGGCCACTCATTAATATACTTTATTCTGATCAGACCTGTAAATTTGTCTTGACACATGATAAATAGCTCTTTTTGCTATCTTCATAAGTACCAAAATACACAGTACTGTAGTGTTGTTCTATATCTTTCATGAATACCTCATGCTGACCTTATGGGCCTTTTTTCTTGAATAGCCTAACAGAACACATATAATACACAGAGATAGCTGGATGTTTGTGTTATATTTATTTTGATATATTCCTTTTTTAAATGTTTGTTCAGTTTATTAAACTTCCATACTATTGGATATAGAGGGATGTGGTGGTGCTGCGGGTTAAACCACAGAAGCCTCTGTGCTGTAAGGTCTGTAGATCTTCAGCTGTAAGATCGAATCTACATGACAGAGTGAGCGCCGTCGCTTGTCCCAGCTCCTGCCAACCTAGCCGTTCGAAAGCATGCAAATGCGAGTAGATAAATAGAGACCACCATGGTGGGAAGATTAACAGCATTCCGTGTCCAAGTCGCACTGGCCATGTGACCATGGAAGATTGTCTTCGGACAAACGCTGGCTCTATGGCTTGGAAACGGGGATGAGCACCGCCCCATAGAGTCGAACACGACTGGACAAAAATTGTCAAGGGGAACCTTTACCTTTATCTTACTATTGGATATTGCAATTGAACCGTTCATATACTCAAGCCTTCAGTGTCTCCTTGCATGCGCTGGTACATTCTCCAGCTTCACTTAGCTGCAGTGTATGCATGAGTGCTACAGCTATATGGGTAAAGTCGTGTAAGGTCCACCCATCTGTACAGGGTGAAAGTTGAATGGTAAATGCAGAAATGACAGGTGCCACTCATGTGGAAATGCAGTGGCCATATAGAGAAAGCTTGAGCTGTATATCTCTGTTGTAGAAATGGAATCTCTGTTGTAGAAACCCATTACAGTGGTGGCTCGCATTACGACGTTAATTCGTTCCAGTGAAATCGCTGTAAAACGAAAACGTAATGTGATTTTAAAAAGCCCATAGAAACGCATTAAAACCCGATTAATGCGTCCCTAGGGGCTTGAAACTCATCGTCCAGCGAAGATCCTCCATAGCATGACCATTTTCGCTGCCGTTGCAGCAAGGAATCTGTGCCAGAAAAGAGCGGGTGGCCATTTTGTTTACCTGCTGGCCATTTTGAAACCACCGATCAGCTGGCCTAAAATCATCACTTTTGCGATGGTCAGTTCCCGAAGCAGGGAACCGATCATCGCAAAGCAAAATTCCGCATAGGGAACATCGTTTTGCGATCGCAAAAACATTGACGTCTAGCGATTTCGCCGTCAAACGGAGCACCCGTTAAGTGAGACACCACTGTATACCAAATTTCAGAGCGTCACTGTGCTAGAGATACAAATGAATCACATTGTTCTTCGAAATGACAGATTGTCTTGATGAAAGATAAGAAGAAATGCTTTGCAATTGATAACCCTGGTTTTGACCCAGAAGTTGTAGCAGTTCATCCAGGAGGTGGTATGGCAGCAGTTGGAGGAACAGTAAGTATATTTTTTTCTGAATAAAAGTAACTTTTTTGATCAGAGGATCCTGGTCAGTATTTTAAATGAAATTTGCCAAGTATCATATGCTATAGAAAAATTATTACTATAATCATTATACTCTTGTATAGACCTTAAATCAACTAAAACAGTGCTCACTAAAAATATCAAGGAGCTATGGGCACATACCACTGTTTCCTTTGGGACAACATGTCCACCTTCTGTCCTCACCGGAGGACAAGAAGTTGTTTACATAGACCTTTCAGCAAGAGGGCCTCTCTGTTACCAAACAGTAGATGCTCTCTGCTAGGCACACTGTGGATGCTGCAGTGAAGTCCATGGCTACTTCAGTAGCATTACAATATTTTTCTTGGTTGAGAACAGCCAGCCTTGCTGAAGAATGCCCATGCACACATTGAGGACCTTCCTTTCGATGGGGCATGCCTCTTCAATGCAGAAACTGATGACATTTTAGAAAATGTTCAAAAGAAAAAAGATGAGCAGCAAGGCGTGGGGAGTCTACTTGTCCTACCAACAATGCCCGCAGCATAACCAATGGAGGCGACCATACAATTCCTATCAAAAGTTCCAACGTGAACTTCAAAGACAAACACCTTATATACCTTACTTCAAAAATCAAAGAACCAAACCTCGTCAACAGCCAATCACTATGCGAAATGACCGCAAGCCCAAACATCACGTTTGATGCTGCCCCGACCAAGATAGCAAATCATTACACCTATCCTGCCCTTTCAAAACACCAACCTGTCTGGGAGTCCATCACCACATATGTCTAGGTGCTCTCCATCATCTGAAATAGCTACTGCACCCACTACTTCCAACTTCCTCCATCAAAACACACATCATCACTCCACTGTTGCAAACCCTACAAGAAGAAATAAAAAATTTACTTCTCAGAGATGCCATAGAACCAGTATATCAAAACAACAAAGGGGTTTTCTCTCACTATTTCAGCGTCCCCAAAAAGGATGGAGGTCTTCGCCCCATCTTGGACTTAAGAGAACTTAAGAAGTACATCAGTACCACAAAATTCCATATGATTGCCCTTGGATCAGTCCTCCCCTTAATCTGAAAAAACGAGTGGTTCACTGTCATAGATCTCAGAGATGCATATTTCCACATTTCCATACATCCTTCACACAGAAAATGTATTCGGTTCCAATTAGCATCCCAAGCCTACCAATTCAAAAGACTTCCTTTCGGCCTCGCCACAGCTTCAAGAGTATTCACCAAGTGCATGGCACTGGTAGCTGCTTACCTCAGACTTTGAAAAATTCTCATCTTCCCTTACATAGTCGATTGGCTCCTTGTTGCTCACTCCTGTTGCAAAGCTCAATGAGACACACACTTCACCCTTACCCTTCTTCACAATCTCGGTCTTGCTGTCAATGAACAAAAGTCAAACTTAAAGCCTACCAAGATTGTCAACTACATAGGCGCATTCATAAACTATGTACAAGCTCGTGCTTTTCTCCCTGCAGACAAAAGACACAATTTAATCACCTTGCTTCAGGATTTCACCCCTCGTGCTATGATACCCGCTTTAACCATACAGCACATACTAGCACCATGGCCTGTATAACATCTGTTGTACAACATGTACATCTAAAAATGAGATCTTTCTTGCCCTTTTTAACTTGTTAACAGACTGTCCCCACACTCTTTTGAGGGTCACTTCAGAGCTCACCTGCCAACTTCAGTGGTGGTGTTTTTCTCCCAACCTGTCAGTCGGATGACCATTCCAACAACCACATGCACAAATACAGGTTATGACCGACGCCAGCCTCACAGGCTGGGGAGCACACTGCAAGTCCCTCAAAATCCATGCCAAATGATCTCACAGGGAGAAGTCGCTCCACATAAATGAATTGGAGCTGCTAGCAGTAATAAAAGCATGCAAAGCTTTCAGAAATCTTGTTGGCAAAATGGTACAGATTGCTACCAAAAATACCACAGCTACTGTATGTACTACATTCTCAAAAAAGGTGGCACCCACTCTCCCAGTCTCCTCTACTTATCAGTCGACCTCTGGGAGTGGTGCCTAACACATCATATCTGTCTCAGGGTTTTACATATTGCTGGTCACGACAACAACCTGGCAGACCTCAGCCGCACGAATTCTCAAGCTCACAAATGGAGTTAGATCAGTCGATCTTTCTTTGTGTTTGCAAGCGTTGAAGCAAACCAACTTTCAACCTCTTTGCCTCCCGTGTGAATTGGAAGCGCAAACATTACTGCTCTCAAGCCTGAGTCGGCAGACACTCCCAAGGAGACGTGTTTATTGGCCGATGGCCCAAGACCCTTACCTCTTTCCACCATTCCCACTCCTCCACAAAGTGGTGGTCCATCTGCAACAGGACAAGCCCAATCCCATCGTCATAGCCCCTTGGTGGGCGAGGAGACCCTGGTTCCCAGTCCTCCACAATCTGTTATCAGACATTCACCATCTCCCTCACCTACCACATCTCCTCACGCAGAACACGTCCCAAGTACGCCACCCAGACTTACCTGTTCTGCACCTGGCAACATGGAGGATTCCACCTCACTGATGAACATCCTCCATCAAGCAAAGAAACCCTCCATTAGGAAGGCTTACCTGTACAAATGGAAGAAATTTAAGTCCTTCACTGAAACTTTGTCATTGCCTTCCATCAATGCATTGCTTGCCACTGTTCTCTGGTTCTTACTCCATCTCAAGTCTAGGTGTCTTTACCTCTCCTCCTTAAGAGTTTACCTCTCCACAATAATTTCCTACCAACCACCCAGCTCTCCAGCATCTGGGTTTTTCAAACATCCGACACTGAAATGATTTCTCAAAGGTCTGTCTCATATATATCCAGAATTCATCCACCCTTCCACAATGGTTGTTAACCCTTGTATTACAACAACTCACTAAGGCTCCCTTCGAGCCTTTAGCTGCAACTGATATCCAACTACTTACCTTCAAAACATCTTTCCTAGTTGCCATCATATCCGCTCGACAAGCCAGTGATTTAGCAGCTTCACCCTTATTTACAGTTTTTTCCAGACAAAGTAATCTGTTGATATTTCTTTCCTCCCCAGAGCCATATCTCAATTTCATATTTCCCAACTGCTAATGCTCCCCTCTTTCTTGCCGGCACCATCTTCGGCTAAAGAAAGAATTCTCCATACGTTGGATGTTAGAAGAGCCCTTGCCTTTTATCTTCAGCGCACCCAACCTTTCAGACATTCACCTTGCCTTTTTATCAGTCACCAACCCCCTACCAAGGGTTGTCAGGTGACTTCTCAGACTATCTCTAGGTGGCTGGCTTCAACCATTCACCTTGCGTACCAGCTTGCTCAGAAACCAGTTCCAAAGGTGATTCGCTCTCACTCTGCCAGGGCAGTGGCAGCTTTCACAGCGTTTCTCCATGGTGTACCTCTTCCAGACACCTATGCTTCTGCCACATGGGCACAGCCGTCCACTTTTATCCGGCACTATAGACTGGATCTCTGACAGAAGTCTGATGCATCCTTTGGACGTGCTGTTTTAGCCTTTACCTTGGCGTGATACCCTGCCTCCAGGTAAGACAGTTTACTAGTCACCTAGGATGTGATTCACAGAGGCCACACGGAACAACAGTTTACCCACCTGTAGTTGTAGTTCTTCGAGTAGACCTCTGTGATTCACATATCCCGCCCAACCTCTCCACTGTCACACCATACTGCCTAAAAATGCAGCAGTTGACACAACTAAAGGGAGAGTCTTGGCGCCAAGGTACTTATACAGGGAGGGGCATCTCTAGAACAGCTCAAACTGCCCTTTCAGAATTTGACACTAATCTTTACCTCAGCCATTCTTTTTTTTTCTCCTTTGTTTTTAATGACTGGACTCTCTTGTGGTCTCTGTAGCTTTGACCTCTGTATTCACTCTCAGCATACTCAATTGTCAGCCATACTATCCTTGGCCTCCAGAGCCTTCTTTAAGTAGTGCACTCAATGTGGCAGGAAGATTCCTCAAAATAGATTGCCACTCCAAATGTCTCCTTTGCCGAGGAGAAGGCCTTATCATAGAAGAATACTATAATTGTTAAACGCTTTCTAAACTAGCTCTTTGGAACTATCAACTATGCCTCCAGCCTTCCTTTTAAGAGAAAGTCCTGCAGGCATCAGCGCAGGTTGTTCACCATCAAGCTCTGCAGCCTCCACTGATCAGTTCTGGGCCACCTCATTTGGCCAGTCAGTTTCATGTCTCCTCACCTAACTTGTACACTTTTAACTACGCTCGGCACTATTATGTACATCAGAACTTGCCCTGTTCACATCAAGAGCTCTTCATCATTCTACTTAGACATAGGCTTGTTCATGCTGTCCCTCTCATGAAAAGAAACACAAGAGGAGATGAGGCACCACCCTCGTCAACTTCATCCCTTCAGCAGGAATGTACTGTGTCTGATGGCAATCAGACCTTATCCTCAAACATGCCACATCTTCTGGTAGTGCTAGCAGGCCTACCCTTGATCTCAGAGCCTCCCTTTATTCAACTTCAAGACATCAACTTCCTGGTTCACCCCTGCCTACTATCAAGCCCCAACAGCAGTTGATACCAGCCATGCCATAGAAGTCCAGCTCTGGGCTTTTTACTCTGAGGATGAGCTGGTTGAGTAATCTGTTACTTTCTGGGTCTGATCTCAATCATTGAGAACCCATCCTGCACATTCTTGATCCTGGAGCTCTCTTCCACCTGGATTTTGCTCTTTACTCCAACATCATTCCTCCAGCCAGAAGCTTCATGTCCTGTTTTATCAACCATTTCCAGGATCACTGTGCTACCTTCACACTCATTAATCTCCTCACTCATTTTCTCTTCAACCCTCCACTTCCTCCACTTCATCAGTGATCCCACATGCATCTCAGTCTCAGTCTACCTATCGACACTGATGCCTCTCACCACAACTGAGTGAAGCCAGAGTGTTTCACTGAATGCCTGGATCCCGATCTTGCTGATACTGACATTTTCAGCTTCCCCCAGCCTTTTCATATTCCAGGATGTTACCTTTACAGTGGTGCCCCGCATAGCGATGATAATCCGTTCCAAAAAAATTGTCGCTATGCGGGGCAAAAAAGCCCATAGGAACGCATTAAAACACGTTTAATGCGTTCCTATGGGCAAAAAACTCACTGTTATGCGAAGAGCCTCCATGCAGCCGCCATTTTCGCTGCCCGGTAAGCGAGGAATGGGCGCGAAAACGCTGTGGGTGGCCTTTTTTAAACCCGGTGGCCATTTTGGAACCGCCAATCAGCTGTTTAAAAAACATCATTATGCGAAAATTGGTAAGCGAAATGCTTACCAATCATCGCAAAGCGATGTTTGGCCATATAAAACATCGTTATGCGATCACTTTTGCAATCGCAAAAAAAATCGCTATGCGGATTCGTCGTTAAACGAATCGCTCGTTATGCGGGGCACCACTGTATATCGTTACCATGCTTGCATATACAGTGGTGCCTCGCTTAACGATGTTAATTGGTTCCATTAAAAAATCGTTATGTGAAAACATTGTTAAGTGAAACACCATTTCCCATAGGAATGCATTGAAAACTGGTTAATTCGTTCCAATTGGAACAGATTAATGCTTGCAATCATTAGGCCACCTCCTGAAACCTATGCAAACTTAATTTGGTGTTGTTCTGAGTCGTTGTTAATTTTTGGTGATTTTTTTTCTCTCTCATTGAAAAGCATTGGACGGACGGTCCAATGCTTTTCAATGAGAGAGAAAAAAAATCACCAAAAATTAACAACGACTCAGAACAACACCAAATTAAGTTTGCATAGGTTTCAGGAGGTGGCCTAATGATTGCAAGCATTAATCTGTTCCAATTGGAACGAATTAACCAGTTTTCAATGCATTCCTATGGGAAATGGTGTTTCACTTAACAATGTTTTCACATAACGATTTTTTAATGGAACCAATTAACATCGTTAAGCGAGGCACCACTGTATATGCAAGCATGGTAACGATATACAGTGGTGCCCCGCATAACGAGCGATTCGTTTAACGACGAATCCGCATAGCGATTTTTTTTGCGATTGCAAAAGTGATCGCATAACGATGTTTTATATGGCCAAACATCGCTTTGCGATGATTGGTAAGCATTTCGCTTACCAATTTTCGCATAATGATGTTTTTTAAACAGCTGATTGGCGGTTCCAAAATGGCCACCGGGTTTAAAAAAGGCCACCCACAGCGTTTTCGCGCCCATTCCTCGCTTACCGGGCAGCGAAAATGGCGGCTGCATGGAGGCTCTTCGCATAACAGTGAGTTTTTTGCCCATAGGAACGCATTAAACGTGTTTTAATGCGTTAGAGAAAACAAAAAATCACCAAAAATTAAAGATGACTCAGAACAACACCAAATTAAGTTTGCATAGGGTTCAGGAGGTGGGCTAACGATTGCAAGCATTTAAAACATGTTCCAAACATTGTAAGACACTTAAAAATGAGCGAAAACGGAAGAGCTTCAAAAGCACTGAAGCCGGCTTCAGTGCTTTTGAAGTCCTTTCCGATGTCTGTTTTTGCTCATTTTTAAGTGTCTTACAATGTTTGGAACCTGTTTTAAATGCTTGCAATCGTTCGCCCATCTCCTGAACCCTATGCAACCTTAATTTGGTGTTGTTCTGAGTCGTCGTTAATTTTTGGTGATTTTTTTAATATTCTCCATTGAAAGCTTTTGAACAGACCATTCAAAGGCTTTCAATGGAGAATTTAAAAAATCACCAAAAATTAACGACGACTCAGAACAACACCAAATTAAGGTTGCATAGGGTTCAGGAGATGGGCGAACGATTGCAAGCATTTAAAACAGGTTTCTAACAGTTTAAGACACTTTTACAGGAGCGAAAAAAGGACATCGTTAAGTGAAATTCTGCCATAGAGAACATCGTTAAACGATGGGGGAAATTCCTCAAAGAAACCCATCGCTGTGTGAATTCATCATTGTATGACGCAATCGTTGTTCGAGGCATCACTGTACCTTTATGATGATCCCTATGGCTCGAACTGACAGACCAAATGCTATTCTCATTGTCATCACTACCCACCCTTGCAAACTTACCTAGATCCTTCGTACCAAGCAGGCCTTCTGCCAGGACCAGCCTCTTAAACTCTGCCTACTTTGTGGTTAGTTCCAGTCAGGCCCATGTTACACTTCCACTAGTTCCTTCAGTGGCTTCTCAGCAGATCCAACCATCAGTATTGAAGCCTGCACTGATCACAGTTTCAGCCTCATTGTCCAAATTGCTGCATGCACCCTCAATATGGAGAGCTACTTCTCCTGGAACCCAGAATCCTAGTCTCCTGGTTCCACTCCACATCCAAGTGAAAAGGGAGAGGGAACTGTGTTCCCCCCCCCTTATCTGTCCTTCACCCATCCATCAGCACCCACCATTGATGGATGACTAGAATCCTCTCACACATGCTGATGATGTACAACTTTATCTGGATTGACTCCACTGGATGGCAGAGGCCCTTGACCTTTTTGAAGCCCAACCAAACACTTTCATTGTCACTGTTTTGAAAGGGGACACAGGTCCCCTCCTCTTCCAAGTCCACCATGATCTTACCATCTTTTCTTCACATTGCTTAAGAATCCTGGCATAAACCAGCCCTGGTGTGTACCTTCTTTCATTAGTAAAGCAAAGCGTGCTGCTTATATACCGACCCATAGTGCTTCCAGCACTCTCTGGGTGGTTTACAAGTTAATTATGCAGGCTACACATTGCCCCCCCCCCAGCAAGCTGGGTACTCATTTTGCCGACCTCGGAAGGATAGAAGGCTGAGTCAATCTTGAGCTGGCCACCTGGGATTGAACCCCAGGTCGTGAGCACAGTTTTGGCTGCAGTACAGCGGTTTAATCACTGCACCATGAGGCTCTTAGTCCAATGTAAAAGAAAAAATCAATAACTTCTACTGAGTTAGGGGGAAAGACTGCATAGTCCTCTTGAAATGTTCCCATAGTATGTTTTATTGTGGAGGCAGCACATGGTGAGACCAGGCACAAATTTCAATCCGTTCCTGTTGATTCTGTGGCACCCATCCTGCACAAACTCTTGGGCAATGGTAGTCTTAAAGCACTCATCTATTACATCAAAGCCCATCACTTAGATATGTAACAGATTGCCCCCCCACTTGCCACATGTTTGACAGTGAGCCTAAAGTTTTGGGACAACTGCTACTCTTCCGAATAAGTCTCCTAGAGTCTGTTCCTCAGGACACTGATGTCAGGCTATTCTGTAGCCAAAAATGCAAACAATGATCAGAAGTCTGGGTATTATCTTCCCTGTCTACCTCTATCCTACATCTCTTAGCTTTACAGGCCACTATGTAAATTCTCTTCCCATCACAAAGATCACTTTGAACCTTTTCCTCATCTACACACCAGAGGAATACCACCTGACCTCCCACTCAGAAGGTAGACTGTTGACCCCAAGAGATGGCTTTGATTGCTTGCCCTACCTCCACTCTGCTCTACCCTTCTTTGTCAACTGCTTCTGACAATACATCAGATCTCTGTGTCCTGAACATCCTAGCTGAAGTTGTTTGTGACTATTTAAGGAGAGAGCAGCACTTTTTAAGCACCTATGTCTCTTGTGTCTCTTTAACTTTTTGAGGGAATAAAGTACAAGCCACTTACATGTTTTAGTGTATTTATCAGGGTCGGCAACAGGAGATCTGAAAGTTTTCACTTCTTCTTAAGGTGTTGGTATACACTTAGCAGGGCTTGACCTTGTAATATTTTGACTTTTAGGATGGAAAAGTATACTTGTATACAATCCAGGGGGCTTCTTTAAAAAGAAATGAAAAAACACTGGAAGCTAAAGGACCTGTGACCGATCTGGCTTATTCCCATGATGGTGCCTTCCTTGCAGTGACAGATGCAAGCAAGGTTGTCACAGTGTTCAGCGTTGCTGATGATTATGCGGTAAGGACTACTCTGTGATCTCATAAAATATTTTCTGTTTCATTTCTTAAGCCTAAAAAGGTATAGATTTGCCAGCAGTCAGTACAAAATAAGTACAAACCTTACTGCGAACACTTGGGATTTTATATTGCATGTTCCTCACAAGCAGCTTCATTTAAATACTGAAAAGCTTTTGAAACAAAACTAACCATTACAATTGTGATGGGATGTTACAAATGCAAAGCTAATGGCCAGACATTTGCATCCACCAGACTTCTAACTCCCCTCCCTGGTCTTTGAGATTTTAAGGGAAAGGTATTTTCTCAGTCCCACTGCAATCTCAGGCATGTTTGGTAAAGTACCCAAGAATGGACATTTTCAGTGGCTGCTTCCAGCTTACGGAATTCCCTGCCTCATCAGACTAGGGTTGTGCCATCTTTCTACTGGCAGCTGAAAAACGTCCTTCCTAAAACTTGCATGATTCTTTTTTTTAAAGGGATGCAGTACATTTTTTAAATTTTTAAAAAATTCAGTGTATTTAAAAAATGCAGTGGTGGCCCGCATAATGAGCGCTTCGTTTAACAACGAATCCGCATAGTGATTAAGTTTTTGCAATCACAAAAGCGATTGCATTGCGATGTTTTAAATAGGGAAAAATCGCTTTGCGATGAAAAGCTGTTTCGCTTACCAATTTTCACATAACGATGTTTTTAGAACAGCTGATAGGCGGTTCCAGAATGGCCACTGGGTAAACAAAATGGCCGCCCACTGTGTTTTCGCGTGCAGTCCTTGCTTACCGGGCAGCAAAAATGGCGGCCTTATGGAGGATTTTCGCTGAATGGTGAGTTTTTTGCCCATAGGAACGCATTAAACATCTTTTAATGCATTCCTATGGGTTTTTTGTTTCGTATAGCGACGATTCCACATAGCGACGATTTTTCTGGAACAGATTATAGTCGCTATGCGGGGCACCATTGTAATGGCTAATGGATGAAGTACTGGGGTACATCTCAGACATGTGGCTTGTGCAACACGATATACCTCATTACCAGTAATCAGCCATAGCAAGTTCTCAATATACCAGAACATTCCAGTCTGTAGTTATGAAACTTCTACTTCTGCAGTAGAAGAATTGGGCACTGGGCTAGTCATAGTAATGATGGGAAAAATAATGTGGTTTTAAAACCTGACACCCCTGTATAAATTGATATCTACCTATATAATGTCTTGCTTATCCTTGTAACTTCTGTGCATTTAGAATGTTAGCACTCATAAACAGTTGACCATCTTGGCCATGAATTACCTTTTAAAATTAAAAGTTGCCCATTTTTAAACTATACATTATGTTCGTGAAGGCTTTCACGGCCGGGATCTAATGGTTGTTCTGGGTTTTTCGGGCTCTTTGGCCATGTTCTGAAGGTTGTTCTTCCTGACGTTTCGCCAGTCTCTGTGGCCAGCATCTTCAGAGGATAGCAACCTGTGCTCTGAAGATGCCGGCCACAGAGATTGGTGAAACGTCAGGAAGAACAACCTTCAGAACATGGCCAAAGAGCCCGAAAAACCCAGAACAGCCATTATACATTCTGCGCTTCCAATATCAACTGTAATATCTAAAAATTAACAGAGTTAGCAGATTCTGCTATTTTTAGAAGTAATGAGACAGTATATGTTAACCTCTGTATTAACTGTTTAGCAGTTAAATTAATGACCCGTTTATGTTACCATATCACAATGAGAAGACCCTGAGAAGCAGAATAGATGGTTGGGAAATTCTCCCCACTGCATTCTTCGCTGATTCTCTACTTCACCTCACCTCAGCCTTCTAATGGTGGCAGAGCATTAGACGCACAGATTGCAAGTGTTTCCTAAGCAGACCTGGGCTTGGGTGTAATATATGTGGAAAATCTTTGAGCAAGCAAGATAAGTGACTTACAATTTGTCACTAAGTCAGGCCTGGGTGGGTTGAAGATTCACAGGTGCAATAGGCGTTGGAAAGATGAAATCTCCAATGGAAAGTTTGAGCTGCTTGTGGCTTCCCCGTTTAAACTAATGCTAAGCACCAGCCATCCTTTCTTGTGCTATGCCATCTCTCTATACAGCAAATTTATTTCTTTGATAACCCTCCCAATCTAGCAGGCTTTATTCCATAAGGTGGTAGAAGATTTTTGTCCCCTTCCCCTGGAAATGTTTACTTGCTCTATGTGAGAATAACATGTATATATCTAGAAATTGTCAGGAACATACCTGAATGCTTAAAGTGGGTGACCTCATTTTTAAAACTGTATATGGCTGAAGTCATATGTATCTTTATGACTGAAGTCATTGAAAGCAGAATCCTCTTTATGTCTGCTCAAAAGTACATCCCACTGACTTCAGTGGGGCTTGTTCCCAGGTAATTGGCACTAGCATTGCAACCTTGGTTATCAGTAGTTACATAGTCTCCATCTAAACACTGTTACCACCAAAGTATTAGAAGATATCCTCAGTAGCAGCATTTAGCTCTGTTGTAACATATGAATTGTTCTTACACGACCATTTCTGAGCATTTAAATCATTTGAAAAATAAAACTTCATCACATATTTCAGGCAGAAGGTTTAATGACACTTCTCATGAAATGTAAATCACATGCTTGAAGATTTCCATGAGAAAATGAATCCATGTCAAGTACAGTGGTGCCTCGCTTAATGAGCGTACCGTTTAACAACGAATCCACATAATGTGATAATGCAATCACATTGCAATGTTTTAATGGTCAAAACATCGCATTGCAATGTTTTTTTCAGCAGCTGATCGGCTGTTCCAAAATGGCAGCCGCACGCCCAAAATGGCCGCCACAACCATTTTCACGCCCTGCCCTCGCTTACCGAGGGCACAAAAATGGCGGCGCTATGGAGGAACTTCGCTGAACGGTGAGTTTGGGAGCCATAGGAACACATTAAACTAAGTTTAATGCGTTCCTATGGCTTTTTCCGTTCCGTATAGCGATGTTTCCTCATAGCGACAATTAATCTGGAATGGATTAACGTCGCTATGCGGGGCACCACTGTAATTATGAGTTGTTCATTTTGAGGGCTCTGTACATGTCTGTGCATGTGTGCAGTTGATAATAGTACTGATAAAGGAAAGAGAGGTTTATTTCTAACTAGAAAATGAGAAGGCTGATGCCATCGCAGAAACTGACAAATATTCTGAACCGTGATAGTGAGGTGGCTTGTCATTAAGTGTCTGTCTTTCAGTTGGAATGATAAATGCATGGCAAATAGTTAATTATTTAATTTCTATTTTTTAAAAAAAAAAATCCAATTTCTGAAACAGCAAGAAAAATTCTGTTTAACAGAATGCTGTTTCATATCCTTTCAAAATGTACTAACCGGGTTCTGTTCTGAAGCAAACCACATAATTCAAATTAAGCCATCTAAGTGAGTTAGGCTCTACTCTCCTGTGAAGGAAGGGACAGGACAGGAGAGGATTATAGCTGTACTTCAGTCAAACATTTTGATTGGAAACCTTCCAACAAAAGAGAAATATTGAAGGATGAAACAAAAATATTTTAAAAACTGATTCAAACTCTTCATAACAATTTTATGCTTTGTGCAAATAGTACACAGCAAAAATTGTAAACAAAAACATGTTGTGCAGCCTAATGTAACAATTTATATGACATGCAGTCTAACTGAGCAATGCTATCCATGTCTGTTTAAAGGTAAATCCCATTATTTATTTTTGTTATTGGATTTATATCCTGCCCTTCTAGACAGGAGTCTACTCATTATACCCAAATTACTTCCAGGTATGTAGGTGTAGGATTACTTACGTGTCTTCTAATCACAGCCTCCCTTCCTCTACAGAGAAACATATATTTTACTGGAAAGAAATGCATTAACAGAAATATGTAAAGTATTTAGAGAAAATATAAAAACTACATTTGTAATTAATCAACAAACCTAAATTTAAGAGCAAAATACATTGGGAATAAATCTTAATCTTGGCAACTAGATTTCTCTTAATTTCCCGGGAGTAAGCCACACTGAAGAGCATGCACAGAACTTAATTTAATGAGTGCAAACTTGCTAACCTTCAATATTTAATTAGTATTATAAAAGGTAAAGGTTCCCCTTGACAATTTTTGTCCAGTCGTGTTCGACTCTAGGGGGCAGTGCTCATCCCCGTTTCCAAGCCATAGAGCCAGCATTTTGTCCGAAGACAATCTTCCATGGTCACATGGCCAATGCAACTTAAATGCGGAATGCTGTTACCTTCCCACTGAGTGGTCCCTATATCTACTTGCATTTGCATGCTTTCGAACCGCTAGGTTGGCGGGAGCTGGGACAAGCGACGGGAGCTCACTCCATTGCGTGGATTTGATCTTACGACTGCTTGGTCTTCTGACCCTGCAGCACAGGCTTCTGCAGTTTAGCCCACAGCGCCACCACGTCCCTAATTAGTATTATAGTACAAGACAAAAGATTTTAAATCAAAGGTAATAAGGGTAGCTTAGAAGGGGTGTTCTTCACACCAAGTTAGTGTCATCTTGTGTTCCACAGTAGACACCAGGGGTGGGGATTCTCAATTTGCAACTCATACCAGTGACTTGAATCAGGTTTTTTTTAACAGACTCTGACTCAACTCATAACTCGGGCCCATTACATCCGAGTCACATTGTCAAGTCCCTGTGATTTTAATAGAGACCAGCAGGTCTCCAATGAAATAATAGGGACTCAAAAACACAAATCCATTTTTAAAAGGGGGGGAAGGTAGGGCGGGGGAGGGAAGCCTCAGCTTATCTTGAAGGGAACAGCCATCTTTCAGGTGAGCCAAAGAGGTGGACGGAGTCTTTATGTAAGCCTCCACCCCTCCACTTGTGGCTCCCTTTCAAGATGCCTTCGTTCTCTTTCAAGACTGCTGCGAGAGAGTGAAGGGCCCACCCTTTCCTTCTCTTCCTTGGGCCTCTTGAGGTAAGGAGGAGACAGCCCCAACGCAGGTAAGAGGGGGTGCATTGTAGGAAGGCAGTGGTGGCGGGGGGCCACCATAACGGGTTGCAGCTGCCCAACCAGTGCACATAATTCAACTTTTTAACTTACGTGATTTGAAATTGGATCCCTACAATACTCTGAGACAATCAGAATTCGTTTTCTGGGGTGGATAAAACAATACCATATGGATGTTGACAAGTTTGGACGGAAGCCTGAGTCTGACTCTTGGGGCTCAAGTCTAAGTCTTTGGGTCTGGAGTTCCAAGCCTCAAATAAGGGGGTTACATTCTCCTCAGGGACGGCAGCCATCTTTAGAGGCAGCAGGCCTAGATTCCCTTCCAGGAGCCAAGGGCCTGCTGCCTGAGTCCAGGAACCCATCACCCAGCTGATAGGTGGGCATGCAGAGCATTCTGGGGAAAGGAAGTTGACCAGCTGTCCCTATGCACGCTTCCGCCTATCAGGTTTGGCAATGCTCAGTCTAAATCTTTGGTTCTAGTTCCAAGCCTAGGATGCACGGCAAACAACTCGTGGCTTGAATTTGAGGCTTGGAACTCAAGACTCAGACCCAAAGACTTAGACTTGAGACTTGGGCCCCAAGAGTCAGACTCAGTCTTCCATCCAAACAACTTGTCAACATCCATATGGTATTGTTTTATCCACCCCAGAAAACGAATTCTGATTGTCTCAGAGTATTGTAGGGATCCAATTTCAAATCACGTTAGTTAAAAAGTTGAAGGAGAAGGAAAGAAGATTACAATAGAGGGGGAAGGGAAAGCAAGAGGATAGTTTTGATGAGATGAGTAGGAAAAGGGGTTTTTGAAAATCCATGTTACTTTTCATTCTGTGCAGAGAAGAGGGGAACGAATAAAATAATGGGTAGAATTTTTCCTGCTTTTTATAGTAAAGCTTTAATCTAGTCACCTGACTTAAATGACAGTTTAATATCAACTGAAAGGTTAAAATGTGTTTCTTCCAATTTAATCTTAATTGAACCCCTTTCTATTAACCTTCCCATTTCCAAATTAGTCTGTTTTCTCTTTCTCTTGTTTTCTCTTTCTGAATAGGAATATAATGTATTTTATGGACATCATGCAAAAATTGTCTGCATTGCCTGGTCACCAGATAATGAACATTTTGCTTCTGGAGGTATGGATATGATGGTGTATGTGTGGACACTGAGTGACCCAGAAACCAGAGTCAAAATACAAGGTTTGTATATGGTAATTCTTCCATTAGTGCAGGATTACATTTGAAGGAGTAATATTGGTTTGGTTTGATAACAGAGTACATGTTAGTGTAAGTTGTGTTTTTAATAGCTAATTACATGGATAGAAAAGAAGACTTTTTAAAATACTTGTAACAAATATTTTAGACATATGGCTAATACTCCACTTGGAGCATAGGGGGAATTGTATAAGCTTTTTCCTGCTCCACCAGATCCTATCGTGCAACCAATTGTGTAACCAGTTTTGCAATCCAGTCAAGAACTGGCAGAGAGTAATGCTTAGGTGATTACCCTTCAGTGTAATAGGATGCTGGCCCATAGATCTTGGTAGTTTCAGATCTATAGTTTTCCTTCAAAAATAAACAATTTGTGAACAATGAGCCCCAGAATATGAGATCTCCTCTAAACATATGCCAAAATCATCCAATTCTTTTATTCACATTTAACAGCAACCCCCCCATAGTTAATAAATCAGTAGTTAATTTCCAGATCCTAATATCCATAGTTGATACCCCAAAATTAAGCATTGTCCTTTTCACACCAAACCTATGCTAAAAGTTTGCAGTGATTTTGCAGCACCCTTCTCCAGTGATGAGACTGGCATGCCCAGAGGGGAGTACTAGTGAGCATGTCCAAACTCTTTCAGTTCAAGTCTATACCAGAATTGCGGTTTTTCATTATATGTTCATATAGTCCACAGCAGGCCTAAGTGTTGAAAAACATTCTGAAAATGAAGATAGGTTTCACAATAAATGCAGCCTGAACACTGCTTTTGATTTTTTTTTTTTGGTGGGGGTGGGAACAGAGGTACCTTGTAGTAGCCATGTGACCATTGTAATGCAAAAACTGCTAATGCTGCTAAGAACAGCACAACTCTCTTTTGTTTGCAAGTAAAGGAGAAAAATTGTCATGGGGCATTTTCAGAGGTTATGTGGGACTATATTATGGCTAAGGCAGTTTCACAGCTGACCCAGTGAACCTAGATAATATGCAAAATAGAAACACACACAGGCTTCTGCATTTGCTTAGCATGAAAACTGCTTTCCTCTTTATACCAAGCAGAAGTTTATAATTGAAATAGAAGAGACAAGCTAAATAGAAAAAGTTGCAGAATACACTTTTCACACCCAAAAACACTGCTGAATGCAATTGTAAAGGTAAAGGTAAAGGTTCCCCTTGACAATTTGTCCAGTCGTGTTCGACTCTAGGGGGCGGTGCTCATCCCTGTTTCCAAGCCATAGAGCCAGCGTTTTGTCCGAAGACAATCTTTCTGTGGTCACATGGCCAGTGCGACTTAGACACAGAACGCTGTTACCTTCCCACCGAAGTGGTCCCTATTTATCTACTTGCATTTGCATGCTTTCAAACCGCTAGGTTGGCGGGAGCTGGGACAAGCAACAGGCGCTCACTCCGTCGCGTGGATTCGATCTTACGACTGCTGGTCTTCTGACCCTGCAGCACAGGCTTCTGCGGTTTAGCCCGCAGCGCCACCACGTCCCATAGAATGCAATTGTACATATACAAATATGATTGTAAAACTTGGACCTAGATTTGGAGTGAAAAAGGATAATTCTGGATTTTAGTTGTTAACTACTATTTATACTGTTTTGCAGAACACTGCTAATGGTTTGCAAAACGTTGGCATAGGTTTTGATGGTTTGTAATTGTGACGTTCACCTCTATGAAGCACCTACTTGTTGTGCCCTCACAAAGGCTCCAGTCTTTGTTTCCCTCACTGCCACCAGTGGATTACCTCTATCCACAATATAAGACATTTGTCAAAACACTTGTCTGGTAAATGCAAACAGAACTTATTTATTGAAATGTAGCAAAGATAATAATAATCACTGATGTTCTTCAGATGTACAATATACCATTCTCTTGCCATATAATTTCCATCTTCTCTATCTTCTCTTAACCAGTCTCTAACTCAGTCTCTATCTCTTCTGACTCTCTGATTCTGACTAACTCACTGACTCTCTCCTGACTCTGCCTTTTAACCTCTCTCTCAGCTTCACCTCTCAACAACATTAGCATACAACATGAATAATACATGACTTATACCTAACAAAGGATGAACACTACAGTAATGAACAGAGCCAAAAATAAATTCCACCAGAAAAGTGGTTGAAGATGTTTCTCCAAGCATGGCAAGTGAGATCACACCCACAGTTTTACTGATACAGAAAGAAAAGAATGCAGAGAATCTGCTATAGGTCCTTAATATCATCTCCTGCTTTCCACTGTACTATATTTTCTCATGGTATGCTGCCATACAACAAGGCCTTCAGCCCTTGTGCACAAGCAGCTCCCAGAAGAGGCAGTGCCATGGACAGGCACCAGGTGATGTGCTATGCTCAGGAAGATGAGGTCTGTAAGAGCCTTAATTAGGTAGCAATAAAAGACCTGTTGCGTGTTGGATACAACTGTGATACAGATGTATCAAGTGAGCAAACAGGATCATGTGGGAAGAACAGGTATAAATATGATTCTGAACTTTTAAAATGGTAAGTAAGACTGGTTTGCAACCATTCACATTTGTCTTTCACCTTCTCTCTGCCAGATGCCCACAGATTACATCATGTAAGCAGTTTGGCATGGTTGGATGAACATACTTTGGTGACAACATCTCATGATGCATCTGTCAAAGAGTGGTCTGTTTCCTACAAATAAAACACCTTCATTCAGGAGAACCTCATCAGGGACTAGAAGTATGGAGTGAAACATAAAATAGGATTTCTCTTCCTTAAAGTTAACAAATCTGTAATGACCTTGAGGTCCTAAAGCATATATTTACCGACGGTGTTTCTATCTGAAATTAATTTTTGAAAAGCTTTAGTCAGTGATAGTTTGCACATGAGAAGCACTTAAATTATGTCTGAAGCTCATTAAAATTGTGTGCTGAACATTCCAAATTCTGCAGGCTAGATGGTGGGTGAAGAAGCGTTAAAACTTATTTGGTTCCTTATTTTTTAAGTATATAAGACACACAAACACTTGCACATGGTATTGTACAGCACGAGAGAATTCTCATTTGTTTCTAATTGCAGAACATTTCTTTACCAACCATCATGGTAAGAATGCTAATTGTGATCCAAAAATATATCATGGTGTGCAGCTACTGTATACTGGCTTGTCTGTAATGCACCAAATTGTTGCCTCAGATTTCTTTAATCAGATAACAAAGTGGGTATGTTCATAATAAACTTTTTCTGTATTTGATGTCCAGATTTGTAGTGTTTTCTAAGACAAATTGCAGGTGTGTGTATTGTACTTTGCCAGTCTATTAGAATTTAAAGTTTACAGATAAATGTCAATGCATTTTTCCAAATACAACCTTGTTATCGCCTTTTGAACAAATGAGAATATTCAGTTATAATTTGTTTGTCTGGAAAGGGATTCTTTCAGATTTGCTTTAGATATAGTTGGTTTCATAAAGAGAAATTTATTGATGTAAGAAACTGTGCAGTAATTATAAACATCTTTTTTCAATACAGAAATTAAAGTGAAGTAAAGCATTTTCATGAGTTCAGCTGATCATTATGATGAGCAACTCCAAATCCCATAGAAACTATCTGAAGAAAGAGTTTGTGTTTACAATGCGGTCACATTTATTTTAGAATTCTGTAAACCTCCAACCTGCATACATGTATAAAACAAAGTACAGTGGTCCATCGCATAACGAGCGCCCCGTTTAACGACGAATCCGCATAGCGATGCGGATTTTCCGATCGCATTGCAGTGTTTTTAATGGGCAAACATCGCATTGTGATCATCGGTAAGCGTTTCGCTTACCGATCTTTGCATTGTGATGTTTTAAAGCAGCTGATCGGCGGTTCCAAAATGGCCGCTGGAAGAAAAAATGGCAGCCCGAAGCGTCTTCACGCGGTTTACTCACTTAACGAGGTGGCGCAACAGGCGACCGGATGGAGGATTTCTGCATAGCGGTGAGTTTATCCCCCATAGGAACGCATTAAACGGGGTTTAATGTGTTCCTATGGGGTTTTCCATTTCGGATAGCGACGATTCCGGATAGCGATGATTTATCCAGAATGGATTATCGTAGCTATGCAGGGCACCGTTGTATCTGTTTCTCACACACTTCATTTGTTTAAAGAGGCAAGATGATTAGAAAAGAGAGCAGGAGCATGTGCTTGTAACACCAGAGTAGTGTATTTGTGCCTGCTCCCCTTTGTTCTGTTTTCCTCATTGTGTAGAAACTTCCACAAGAAACTGCTACAAGTTTTTGCTATAACAGCAACACACGGCCCTTTCTTTCCTCCTCTTGCCCCTTCAGCGCTGTTATACATAAAAAGAGCAAACTGATATTGGATACTATTCAACTTACAAAATATGAGTGTTTGAAGAATGTGGGATTTTCATTAAGTGGATAAAGACATTCTCATGGTGTGTTGTCCCTTCCACTTCCTTTAACATGGAGAATTTAAACACCAATTGGATTGGCCCTGAGCACTCCCTAGTGTGATAGGACAATCTTGACTTATCAGTCTTGTTCCTGCTTCTTTTCTTATCTCTATCTTGACTTGATTATGTTTTGTCTTTCCCTTAACTGTTACATTTATTAAAAAGTGCTTTTCCCTCCTATCTTATTTAAAACCAATGAGGGAATTAAATCAGTGTTCCTCAAACTTTTCTGTAGTGCTAAGGCTTCTTTTAGCCCAACAGGCAACAGTTTCACTTCAATTACGATAAACATTGGCAAATAAGGTAAGTTTGTGTATACAAATCTGAACTCCCTAGAGCAGAGTTCCCCAACCTTTTTACTTGCCCTGCCTTCCGGCTCTCCCCCAGCCACCCCCTCACTCCCGTTGCTGCCGCCGCTGCCAGGAAGAGGGCTGCCGAACACCCGGGCCTTGCCGTGCCTTTCAGCTCTCCCCCATCGCCACCGGGCCACAAAGGCAGACCTCCCGCCCGCCCCTGCACTCACTTTCCTCCCCCCAGTTGCTTTGCGCGCGCGGGGCGCTTGCATGAAAGGGGGAGGGAGCGCTCGAGCTGGCAAGCGTGCCCGCAAAGCAGTTCTGGGGAAGGGAGTGCATGCGGAGGGAGCAGGGGAGGTCTGTCTTTGCAACCTCCTGGATCTTGCCCACTCCCACCCCCTCCACTGTCGCTGCTGGGAAGAGAGCAGCCGGAGCACCCGGCCATGCTCTTCCCTCCCGGTTCTGGCCCACACCCACTCACCCGTCCCCGCCGCCACAAAGGCAGACCTCCTGCCCGCCCCTGCACTCACTTTCCTCCCCCCAGTTGCTTTGCGCGCGCGGGGCGCTTGCATGAAAGAGGGAGGAAGCGCTCGCGCTGGCAAGCGTGCCCGCAAAGCAGTTCTGGGGAAGGGAGTGCATGTGGAGGGAGCAGGGGAGGTCTGTCTTTGCAACCTCCTGGATCTTGCCCACTCCCACTCCTCCACTGTTGCTGTTGGGAAGAGTGCAGCCGCAGCACCCAGCCATGCTGTTCCCTCCCGGCTCTAGTCCACCCCCACCCACCCGCCGCCACTGCCGCTGCAAAGGCAGACCTCCCGCCCGCCCCTGCACTCACTTCTCTCCCCACAGCTGCTTTGCGCGCGCGGGGCGCTTGCATGAAAGGAAGCAGCTCTGGGGAAGGGAGTGCATGCGGAGGGAGCAGGGGAGGTCTGTCTTCATGATTTCCTGGCTGTTGCCCACCCCCATCCGCTGCTGCTCCTGGGAAGAGAGCCACTGGAACACTGACCATACTCTTGCCTCTCGGTTCTTGGCTACCCCATCCCCCTCCTCTGCTGCTGCCGGGAGGAGAGTATCCAGAGCACCTGGCCATGCTCTTGCCTCCCAGCTCTGGCCAACACCCACCTACCCACCCACCCCCGCTGCCGGGCCGCAAAGGCAGACCTCCTGCTGGTCCATGCACACACTTCCCTCCCCAGGGCTACTTTGCGCACACGGAGCTCTTGCATGAAAGAGGGAGGAAGCACTCATGCTGGTAAGCGCGCCCGCAAAGCAGCTCTGGGGAGGGGAGTACATGTGGGGGGGCAGGGGGAGGTCTGTCTTTGCAACCTCCTGGCTCTTTCCCACTCCTACCCCCCCCCACTGTCGCTGCTGGGAAGAGAGCAGTCGGAGCACCCGGCCATGCTCTTGACACCCGGTTCTGGCCCACACCCACTCACCTGCCGTCGCCGCTGCCACAAAGACAGACCTCCTGCCCACCCCTGCACTCACTTTCCTCCCCACAGTTGCTTTGTGCGAGGGGGGCGCTTGCATGAAAGCGGGAGGGAGCGCTCGCGCTGGCAAGCGTGCCCGCAAAGCAGTTATGGGGAAGGGAGTGTGTGGGGGGTAGGTTTGTCTTTGCTGCCTCCCAGCTCTTGCCCACCCCATCCCCTCTGCTGTCGCTGCTGGGAAGAGACCAGCCGGAGTACCCAGCCATTTGCTGACTCCGGCTCTTGGCTACCCCCGCCCCCGCCGCTCCGAGTGCGTGCAGGGGAGGGGGGCTGGTGGGAGGTCTGTCTTCACGGCCCGGTCAGGGTCAAGCCACGGACCGGCAATGGGCCGCGGACCGGGGGTTGACGACCTCTGAATTAAATAACTTCATCTGGTAAGAGAGTAGCTCTGGAATGTCAAGAGACTCTCTAGTCTTTGTTCCATTCTGAAGCAACCATAATGCCTAGGCTAGCTGCTGCCACTCAGGCAGGCCCAAAAGAAGCAAAGCTTATTAATCTTGTCAAAGTCTCACATACTTTCTCCAGAGTATTTTCACACCCAGGGGATCCTTTTATTTCTTTATTTGATTTATATCCCGGCCATCTGGTCTATATAACCACTCTAGGCAGCAGCTAAAGTTATATTGACACAGATCACACAAAGTAGAGCCCAGAGCGGCAGAGATGGACATATTAACAGAATCTTTGAAAAGCAATTCAATCCAAGAAACATCTGAAAAATGGGACCCTATATATAACTGGATCCGTTCTATAACCTGAAAGCCAAATGTGATACTTTTAATACAAAATAGTCAAATAACTCTCGTCGTCGTCGCTTAGTCGTGCCCAACTCTTTGTGAACCCATGGATCAGAGCACGCCATCTATCTTCTACTGCCTATCTTCTACTGCCTCCTGGAGTTGTGCCAAATTCATTCTAGTAGCTGCGATGACATTGTCCAACCATCTCATCCTCTGCTGTCCCCTTCTCCTCTTTGCCTTCACACTTTCCTAACATCAAGGTCTTTTCCAAGGAGTCCTCATGAGATGGCCAAAGTATTGGAGCCTCAGCTTCAGGATCTGTCCTTCCAGTGAGCACTCAGGGTTGATTTCCTTCAAAATGGACAGGTTTATTCTCTTTGCAGTCCAGGGGACTCTCAAGAGCTTCCTCCAACACAATTCAAAAGCATCAATTCTTGGGCGGTCAGCTTTTTTTATGGTCCAGCTCTCACTTCCATGGCAATTTGCATACAGGAGAACTAGATCTACTGATGATGCTGTGTCCATTGTACTCCATACTGTATTGAGCCACTTAGAACAACAGGGAACATATGTGAGGCTGTTGTTTGTAGATTATAGCTCTGCTTTTAATACAATTCTACCAAATAGGTTGTTTTTTAAAATGATCAGCTTGGGATTACCTCAGAAGATCTACGTGTGGATAAGCCACAGTCACTAAGAATGGGATCTCACCATTCTTCTACCTTGGTACTAAGTACAGGAGCTCCCCAGGGCTGTGTGCTAAGTCCCTTCCTCTATTCCCTGTACACACATGATTGCACCCCACTGTATAACACCTATGCAATTATTAAATTTACGGATGATACGACAGTGGTGACATAAATAAGAACAATGTCTGCTTATAGAAAGGAAGTACAAAGGTTGATACTTTGGTGTAAAGAAAATCATCTCACACTTAACATCAAAAAAACTAAAGAACTCAATTGATTTTAGGAGGAAGAAATGTAGATTTACATTTACATCATGTACATTTATGTACATAAATGGCGAGGAAGTGGAGAGAGTTGGTAGTTTTACATTTCTGGGCACACATCTCAGAGGACCTCTCATGGACTATAAATGCCAACATGCTAATGAAGAATTCACAGAAGAGGCTGTATTTCCTGAGAATGCTCGGCAAGTTAAATTTATCTCAGCATTTCTGTCATACTATCGTAGCACCATTGAGCGTGTCCTAACCTATGGCATTCTGGCATGGTTTGGGAGTAGCTCTGTAGCGGACAAAAAAGCTCTACAGAGAACCATCA